AGACACTATTTTGAAGCGGTTACTCGACATCAAAGCTTAGTGTTAGTACAGCCCGCACAATTTTACAGAGGAGAAGTCTGTCTTTGTTCTGAAGAACCCGTCACGTCCTAAACAGCTTTCAATAAATATTTTACTGAACAAGTAAGTAAACAAGTTATTGAAGACTCACAGATCATGATCTGCAATGGTATAAGAACAACAACACCAAAAAAACAACAAGTTGATCCATTTCTTCCAGTTACAAGGAGAGAGAGAGAGAGCATACCACCATTGATAGCATTATTATTGAATGAATATATATTGCTGCTCATTTATATTATGCATGTGATTGTAAGCCTATGTGTGTGTGCATGTGTGTACGCGTGCGTGTGTGTGTGTGTACACGAGGTGAAACACCAAACCAATGTGCCAGGATCTGGACAATAAAGATGTATATTATGTTATCTTATTATCTTGTAACAATAAAGTATATATGAGGAGTTCAATGGAAAAATGTGAATAGCCACAAACTGAAAATCGTGAGGGTATAAAATTTGAATGCTTGTTGACTCATAACTGTATTTCTGTTCAACTGTTGGTTGATTATTGTTGTTGTTAGATTTCCCATTCACACAACATAAAAATAAACCACCAGTCAAACAAACATGAAGTTATGGGTCCACAAGCTTCTAAAATTGACACCCTCACAATTTCCAGTTTGTGACTATGCCCCCGTTTTCCCTGTGGATTCCTCAAATGCCATAAATTCAATACAGCCAAAATAAACCCCCTCACACCCATTTTATTATTTTTTTTTTCTGGTGCCTCCTGTTCTTTATGAGCACTCACCTGTGCCGAGAGCCCGTCTGAGTCGTTGTAGACGACCGGCTCAAAGTGCAACTGACACAGGAGATTCATCAGGTTGTCGCGGTCGAAGTTGGTGCCTTTACGGGGTGGCTTCCCCTCCACCTCGTCCACGTTGATGATGAGGAACAGGCCGCGGGGAATTTTGTGCAACGGGTACGACTGGGTGGCAGAAAAAATAAAACAACAGATTTCAGTTTCAATGGCTTGAAAGAATGTGACATCTTAGTTTTAGTAAGAGTTTTACGGCACTTGCAACACAATAAGGTCATATAAGTGCCGAAGATTAGAGGTGTTACAAGCGAGTAACACAAGCACAAAAAAGAAGGAGAGATAAGGACGATAGATGGTTTGATAGGAAAGAAGAAGCAAAACCACACCAGAGCACCAGCCAAGATGTGACATCTTAGACACGACAGGATAAGATGAGATAAGATAAGATGAGATAAGTTAAGACAACATAAGATAAGATAAGACAAGACAAGACAATACTTTATCATCCCACAGGGAAATTTCTCTTGGCTGCACAAGAGGACAGAAAAATTGAAAAAGAAAAGGGAATAAAAGAAAATAAAAAATCCGAAGGAGCTTCTTTGGAAACGCCCAGCAAGAAGAAATAGGGCAGGCACAAAATATTTTTAAACTGTAATTTGACTTTCTTGAATACATATCACCACATTTATGCTGTGCGTATGAATATAATATGAATAATGTACTGAGTCCAAACTTTCTGTGCTGTGGTTGTCCCACTGTTTGCCGTAATTAAGTCAACCTTTCAGAATCAGTACCAAGGGAGGCAATGATACTATTTTTTAACCCTTCCAGCCCCAGCCATTATGGTGTACTCCCTAACCTCAGTCCCAGCCAATACAGCAGTATTTCAGAAAAAGAGGCAAGCATTCTAAAACGTGATGTGGTACCTCTGTAATGAAGTTTAGGGAAATTTTATATAACAATGTTTAACGGTATATACGCGCTTGGGGCTGGCAGGGTTCATGCAAGTCGGACAACATCCAAAGTAACCTTCCAACCAGTCCAGACACTTCTGTTCAATAGATGTTAAAAGTAAATTTTGATTCCTAGTTAACATAAAAAAAGAGTGTAAGGTTTACTTTCACCAAATAGTTGACCTCACCGGTGACATTGTTGAGAACATTACGTTGGAGCCGGTAAAGGTAACTCTCTAACTGCATTAAAAAAGCTAAGCTTAAGCAAAAATCCCAGGCAGCACAAAAACCCCAATGACTCGTACATGTCAAAATCAAGTCATCTTCGTTTTAGTTTTAGTAAGAGTTTAAAAATTATTTTTTTTCAGTAGAGGTTTTATGACGCTCGCAACTGCATAAGGTCATATGATAGTAAGAGTTTTACGGCACTTGCAACACAATAAGGTCATATAAGAGTAGAAAATTAGAGGTGTTACAAGAGAGTAACAAACATAAAAAAGAAGGAGGAGAGATCAGGATGATAGATGATTGTTAGGAAAGAAGGAGCAAACCACACCGGAGCACCCGCCAACCACCCACGAAGTCATGATGATCATCTGTTCACCTTTTTGTAATTGTTGATGAAGAACTGCCGCGAGCTGTGCTCGACCTTGACATTGACGCAGCCGTCGGGCAGGTCCATGTGCTCCATGTCGCTGGGGATGTTGGACGGAATGCTAATGTTCTGCTGCGCTGGGACGGCCACGGGTGACGGGGCGGTGAGGGTTGGGGTGAGGGTCGGGGAGGGGGAGGCAGCAGCTGCTGGCAGCGACGACATGGGTAGAGGGGGGGCCGACAGGTTGATGGCAGGTCCGGCCGCAGCGTTTAGCGTCACTGACGACAGCTCGGACCCTGTGAGAGAAAATATATAAATGAGAGGCATTGCGGGGAAATCAGGCGCTTGCCAAAATAATGAAATCAAAGCAACCGGTATTTTTCTGTTCGTTCGGCAATTTTTTTAAAGTTTAAGTTAGTATGGGGTTTTACGGCGCTCGCAACTACATAAGGTCATAAATTCAGCTCAACACTTTTTATGTCCATGTAAAAACATAGAATCTAGTATGTGTAGGTTTTTACTGAAAAATGTTGATCAAATGCACAAAAAAATATAAATTTGCAGTTTCCAAGGACACTCAAAACTTTGGGAGTCACCAAACTTTGGTGGCCACTTTCTTGCTAATTTTACCACTGACACAAGGCGTCCGCCACTGTAGGAATCGAACTCACATCTTCTGTATGTTATGGCAAAACCCGCATAAAGGCTACACCACAGTTGTTACAGTAATTTGAGATGTGGAACTTACCTTGTCCATTCTGAGGTGGAGTCGACCCGTCCACTTGGGAAATTTCCCTGCCGTGAATTCTGATCGTCATTGTGTCTGAAGGAAGAAGGAGTTGTGGCTGTTATGGACTTTTAGCATACAGTGAGTCGGTACAATAATGACCACATTTCACTAGGAACAGATTACAATATTCTGTACTACTACTACTAGTACTACAACTACTAATGATAATAATACTACTACTAGTAATAATAACAATAATAATAATAATGATGATGATAGTAATAATAATAATAATAATAATAATTATAATAATTTAAAATGGCAATGAAAGAAAGAAAAGAAGCAGATCCCCACCCACAATCCACAAACATTTTTAAAGAAGCGAGGAAGTGGGGAGTAAAGTGGGTGCACATAATCACAATAAAGGAAATTTAGTTAGGGTGAAAGGCAGCACGAGACAAAGAGACAGACAAACACAAAAAGTTTTAGTTTTAGTAAGCGTTTTACGGCACTTGCAACACAATAAGGTCATATAAGTGCCGAAGATTAGAGGTGTTACAAGAGAGTAACAAACACAAAAAAAAAGGAGGGGAGATAAAGACGACAGATGTTTGATAGGAAAGAAGAAGCAAACCACGCCAGAGCACCCGCCAACATGCAAACAAAACGACTGTTAATATACAAAAACTATAAATGGGGTTCGTTTTTGGAAGGTTTTACGGAGCTCACAACTGCATAAAGTCATATGAGTGCCAAGGGGTGGATGTCAACAGAGAAGTCCAAACGCAGAATCAGGCTTACTCTGCTCACCTCTCTAGCCTCAACAGCACAAAGTCTGCTTCGACTATCAAGGCACCCCAGAAATAGCAGTTCATGAGAGAGTGACAAACAAACAAAAGAAGTAGAGGAAAAATGACGATAGTGAAAGGATGGGTTCCAGCACAGTATGAGTATGACATTGATAAATCAGCCCATTTACAACTATACTGTGCATAACATCATGCTAATATCCCCCCTTTGGGAATATGGGGTTCAACAGACGACAAATGCTCGTAATAATAACTATTCTTCTATTATTTTCGCAAAAAATAATGGGAAAATAATATACAACCCCCCCCCTCGCAAAAAAAAAGTGGAAAACAATAGACACACCTCCCCCCCTCCCCTTTCGTAAAAAATAAGGGGAAAATAATAGGCATCCCCCCCCCCCCCCTAAAGGGGAAAATAATAGACACCCCTTTCAAGGGGAAAATAATATACCTCTCGCCCTTAAAGGGAAAATAATAGACACCCCTTTCAAGGGGAAAATAATATACCTCTCGCCCTTAAAGGGAAAATAATAGACACCCCTTTCAAGGGGAAAATAATATACCTCTCGCCCTTAAAGGGAAAATAATAGACACCCCTTTCAAGGGGAAAATAATATACCTCTCGCCCTTAAAGGGAAAATAATAGACACCCCTTTCAAGGGGAAAATAATATACCTCTCGCCCTTAAAGGGAAAATAATAGACACCCCTTTCAAGGGGAAAATAATATACCTCTCGCCCTTAAAGGGAAAATAATAGACACCCCTTTCAAGGGGAAAATAATATACCTCTCGCCCTTAAAGGGAAAATAATATACCTCTCGCCCTTAAAGGGAAAATAATAGACACCCCCCCCCCCCCCACACACACGAGTCACCCCTGCTCTCCACAGCACCGGTCAGCACTCACCTACGGCGTCGGCGGCGTGTGTGAGACTGTTGTAGTCGGCCACAGGAGGAGGCTGGCCGCTGGTCGCTGCGGGAACGGACGCGTGCTTCTGGGAAGGGGGGAGCAGGCCGTGCTGGCTCAGGTACTGATGCGGGTGGCTGTACTGGTGGCCGGCTTCGTTGCTTGGAAACCTGAACAGGGTGGGAATGAATAACAGGATCAAAGAGTGAAAAATGTCATCGGAATAATGCTTGACAGGAGAAACAGGGTGGGAATATCAGGATCAATGAGTGGAAAATTTCATCCGGAAAAAGCATTGACACGAGAAACAGGTGGGAAATTAGGATCATTGAGCGGAAAACTTCATCAGAAAAATGCATTGACATGAAAGCAATTACTTGTTATTTACATATATCTACATATAATAAACTGTGCAAGTGGATTCGCCATAAGAAACATCACTCACATGCACGAACTAAACAAAAATGGAAACAATATTTGTTCAGAGTGACTTTGAATCTACTGAAAATTTTTTGGGACGTCAAGTATTGCAAAATATTTTCATCTTCACTCACCATTCCCCATTCATAGAAAAAGAAGCTTGTCCTAATTACGTACATAGAGCTCTCGACTGCTGCAATTAAATTTTTTTTTTGCATAAAACAATTCAATTGACTACCCAGTCAAATTCTCCTTTCCTTGTCTCTTATCTCTTAGAAATGAGACTCCCTCAACACAATGGAGCATCTAACCCCCCCCCCCCCCCAGGGCGGTGCCACTGACTGTAGTGTCTTTATGCCATTCTCAAAGGGGGGGACATTTCTTGTTCAAGCACAGTAGAAATGTAAATGGGTTGATTCTCATCATGTCACGCTCATAACTGTGCCTGATCTACTACAGGGAACTGCTGCTTTTTCTTTCATAGTCCTTACTATTGTCATTTCCTCTACTTCTTTTGTATGTTTGTCACACTCTTGCGACCTGCTATTTCCGGGGTGCCTTGATAGTCGAAGCAGACCTTGTGCTGTTGAAGCTAGAGAGGTGAGCAGAATAAGTCTGATTCCCTGTAAGGACTTCTCTGTTGACACCCACCCCTTAGCACTCATATGACATTATGCAGTTGCGAGCGTCGTAAAACTTTCTACTTATATAAAGAAGCATCTCCAGATCTAATAGGATTAAAGTAAAAATAAATGTGATTTACACAAAAGAAAAGTGGAGGGAGGTAAATTATCATGAAATGAGGCAAATAAAAATTCCACGAAAGTTCTATACTATACTCCTTGAATATTTCTGTTTTTCTTTCAAATGGGCCATCCTTACTCCTGCCACTGTCAGAGATTTAAAAATAGGAACATGTTGTTTTTGTTTTCAAATCCCTTTAGCTGCGAGCATTTCGCTCTAAAAATAGGAACATGACAACCAATAATACCTTGTCAGTGGATCTGACTGGCGACTGAGCTGTGGAAATGGCTGGACGGTAGACAAATCGGGACGGAATGGCTGTGGTATATGAGCTGGTGAGTTGGTCATCGGAGACGCTGAAGACATGGAGGGTGGTGGTACAAGTGGTAGACTGGCCTGGCCGGTGATGGTCAGCTGTGCAGAGGCGGGGCCCTGCGACGTCTGTTGGGCATATGCCGCCATGTAGCGGACAGGGTCCGAAACGTTTGGGTTGTGGGCGACCGACTGGGGGTTGAGAACGGGAACCACGGACAGACTGTTGTTGCAGGATAGGGATCTGTCCGACTCCTGGGCTATGAAATGTTTATTGACGTAGCGCGTGCTGTCTTCTTCGTAGCCGTGAGAACCGTTCGTGATCTCCTCCAGGCGCATCTTTTTCTGGGGCGACGCGGAGGTGTTTTGGTATTCTATACACAAATGGTTGTTATCTGGCTCTTTGATTCGAATAACAGAAATTGTGGGTTGGGAGTTCACCGGCTGTACAGAGGGCGGCTGTATTGCTGCGTCTATCGTCTCTACCGAGGCGGCAGGAAGGCTCGAGTTTCGGGAGGGGGCAGCTGTCGGCGATGCGACTGTGTTCGCTGAATTCTGGGGCTGCTCAGCCGTGACCGCTGGTGTGTTGGATGTTTTGGAAGGGACTTTGAGATATTTGGTCACAATCTCCTCCTGGTCATCTGCCTCAAGCGCCTCGCAGAATCTCTCGAAACAGTCTTTCTTGGGAAGGTAGTTCAAAAGCTCCTCTGCTTGTTCCTCTGGCGTACGCTTCATCTGTTGGTAACAAAGACAGAGAAAAACAGTGGGTAGGCCTGAGTTTCTATCGAGGGGGTGGTAGATTCAGTTTTCTGAGATAAGGAAAAGCATATTATAAAAACTAAAACACCCTCATTCATTCCTGTACAGGAACTGTAAGTTTCAGTACCGAAGTGAAGCTATAAAACTTTCCACGAAGCACTGTAACATAGTTTTGTCATACCAAAGAATCATATAGAGGAAAATTAAGAAGTCCTTGTATAAACTGAAGCATCTTGCGTGAACTACACAGCAAAAAATTCCCATAAAAGCTTTTCATATTGGGGAAAACAGCAAGAATAGAGACTGGAATCAATCAAATAAAATCTTACTCACAATAAGATCTTAACTTGTTGTATCGAAAGCAACAAGAAAGAGAAGCAAAACTTATAGCCTTGCTAACATCATAATGCACTACATAATAAATGTATCAAGTTTTGAATGAAAAAAAAGAGAAGTAGATTAGTAATAATGAATTAAGAATAGAAAACATACACATTTGTGTTAGAACGCGGAGGAATCAGGCTCTTGTCAATTTTGGGGCATATGAAGTTATTGGTATCATCTTAAAGCTTGTCTATTTGTCTTACTGTTCATGAAAACAATATCTATTTATCTAGGACACAAGTCAAGATATTGGTGATTGAAGGTGGTGGGGTGGCCAGGTTTCAGAGGTAAAATTAGTGAGAAAATGGCCGCCAAAGTTGAGTTATTACCTAAACTTGAGAGCCCATGGAAACTGAAAATTTACATCTCTTATACATGCCTTAAATCAATGTTTTTCAGCACAATCCACACAGAAATGTGTTCTTTAAAGGGCATGAAAGGTGTTGAGCCAAAAAATTAAAATTTTATAAATATTTCCAAACTTGCAAGAAAATGCTACTTTCTTCACTTTGACTATTTTGACAAGCGCCTGATTTCACCACGCTGCCTCACACACATATATATTATATCAATGGTCATTTTACAGACACAGAACAGAAGGGGATAAGAGACATTCCTTCCTGCAATGCAGTCAGGGCTATTACAGAGTAACACACTAACCAACACTGCAACAGAAATATCTTTGATTCAAACACTGCTCAGGACAGCAGGCCAACCATTAGTAAGCCATTATATTATACCTTTATGTTATTTACAGTTCGTTGATTGAGAATTTTCTTGGCCATCAGCTGGGTGAACAGCCCACCGTCCATGTTGAGGTTCTCCACAAGCTCCACTCGTCGAGTGATCAGGATTTCCTTCTGCTCTTTCTCCATGATCAGCCGCTGTGACAGTCAACTACAGCTTTTATGTTGGAAATACCTGAAATACAACGAAAACGTAACCGATAGCCGTACAAATCGAATGAAAACTTAACGTTTTTTTACACCCTCAGTGACATAATTGGTCGCTTTTAATTTAAGGACAAGCTGGCTAACCCAGATTTTGAGAGTTTCCAGAAATCTTGACCTACACCAAAAGTGGGCATTGCCCTATCAATAGGAGAAGTTTGGTTTCATTGGGGCGAATATTTATTTAGTTACATAGAGAACTCTCCTTGTTCTTTTAATGAAACTGAACAAGGGGCAAAAACTTTACCTTCAATTTCAGCATTTTATGGGATAGCCCACTTGTGCTTAAAAGTGACAAATTAAAGTTATCTCGGAGATGGATTCAGGCCGAAGGACTAGAACCCAGATGGCCGTTGGATCAGATAATAAGTAAAGTTAAGTAAAGTAAGGAGGTGAATTGCTTCCACTCTCGTTTTAGTAAGAGTTTTACGGCACTTGCAACACAATAAGGTCATATAAGAGCCGAAGATTAGAGGTGTTACAAGAGAGTAACAAACACAAAAAAGAAGGAGGGGAGATAAAGACGATAGATGTTTGGTAGGAAAGAAGAAGAACACCACACCAGAGCATCCGCCAACCACTCACTGCTTCGACTCTACCAGTCAGGGTTAACCTGGGCTGCCAAGGATACAACATTCAAGGAGACAGACACAGTTTGTTTTTAACCATATTCATTTGTATTAATAAAAATCCTGTTAGAAAAGGCTTGACTTTTACAATGAGACAGACAAGACATAAAAACAAATCTTCAATCAAGCTTACAAATTGGAGGTTCGGAGACACATCATCTGAGACTTTATTCATTAACACAGGCCCATGTCCCTCTGAGCTCTAAATGCAGGCACGTGGCTGAACACATTATGATCATCTTTACAAACTCCTGAATATCTTTTGAATGCCATCATCATCACTACTTTTATGATGTGAGAAAAAATTGTGTCACGCCACAGAGGAATCAGGCGGTCATCAATTTTTGGGCATGTGGAGTTATTGTTATCATCTTAAAGGTTGTTTATTTGCTTTGCTTTTGATGGAAAAAAAATCCATTTATCTTGAATAGGAGTCGAAATATTTGAGATTGAAAGATGTGGGGTCGTCTGGTTTCAGAAGTAAAATTTGTGAGAAAATGTCCTTGGTAACTGCAAATTTACATTTCTTGTGCCTTTAACCAAGGTTTTTTCATAACTCCACATATAAATGTTTTGAATATAAGGTGTCATCCAAAAAATACAAATTCGAAAAAAAATTCCAAATCGGCCGAAAAAATGCTGATTTCTTGGAAATTACTACTTTGACGGGTGCCTGATTTGACCACGATGCCTGACAAATGTTACTTACTATTGTAATGCTAATGATGAGTCCTTATGCCGCAAAAGACCTCTCCTGTAGGCAGAATCTCATGCTCATAACTGGTTTAATTATGCATGGCCAAGCTGAAAATGGTAAAAATAGAGCAAGTCAATTACAAAGTCAACAATGAACAACAGCTACTCACAGAACGGTCAGACCCCCCCCCCCCCCCCCTCCCCCAAGCAAACCAGCACTGTTTCCAAATGGAAAAGAAAAGTATGGAAGGAAGACCCGACTTTTTAAAGCATCTTTGTACTACTGAGAGTTAAAAAAAAACAAACCCCAGAAAATTATCAGTCTCTCTTTGAGAGCAGCCAAAAAAACCTAAATCTAAAGGGGCAGTTTACGTCCATAGGAAAGAACGATGGCTAGACAAGAACCTGTTAAATCATCCCCTGATCAGTATGTTTTTATTTAATGTCATGTAGGTGTTTTTTACGCCCCCATCCACACAATTTAGATCACTTTGGAGGCCCAGGCCAACCCGGGTTGAGAAGGATACAACACACCAACAAAAAACCCCGGGATACTTGATAAAATTCTCCCCAGATGGGAATCAAACTCGGGTCTCCTGTATGCCATAGCGAAGCACCTAATCGCTAAATCACAGATGTCTGTATATCAGTATGTTAGCATGTGGTTAGGGTAGATCTACGTAACGATAAAAGTAGAAAAAAAGAAATTTTTTTTTATTGTGAACGAATAATGAAGCTCCAAGTCCAATATACATACTGTCACACACAGTCAACATGCATTGCAGTTAAGAAAAGAATAGGAAGTGACAAGTGACTGCCTGGCCAAATTTGTCTAAGGGCACCATAACAATAGTCAGGGGGCCCTCGTGGTCTTGAGGTTACAGTGTTCGCTTCTCGTCCAATAGGTCCCGGGTTCAAAACCTGACAGTGACGGAAAATTTTCTTTTCTCTTTTCCTGCTCTCTCTAACCATGTTCTATTGTCTGCTTTTATCTTCACTTTCAATCAATAGTCACTGTGCAAGTGAGCACAGATATATGCACAGTGACATGGCAGTAGTTACACAAATCTCTGATATGAACCACCAAAATTTCAGTTGACAAACAGTGTTCAAGGGAATGATCTAGATCTTAACATTATAGCCTATAATTATTATAAATTTTTTTTTGCCACTTCAAGATTACCACAATTTCTTCAGTTCAACAAGTTTAGCCCACGCTTCTACACCAAAAATTAGGGACAGAATCCCAATGTAAAAAGAAACTTGACCAGTCTGACAAAAATGTTTCTTGTTCTTCTTGGAACAAGGGAACTAGATCTATACTATGCTATGTTTACAACTTAATGAACGTGTTAGAGAGAGACCGGATTTAGGAAGCTTCAGATGTCTTTTACTCTACTATACTCTACTGTCTAAGTCTTTATCGAAGTGAAACCGTTTCAAATGGTCCTAGGCCTATATATAGTAGATCGTCTAGAGATGTAGGCCTATTGTAGGCGTCCACCTCTATTCTCACCCTGGATGAGAATAGCGCAGGCGTGCCTTTTGGCTATTCTCACACGGTGTGCATTCACCGTTATAGTTAGCCTTGGCCAACCTGTGTAGCCATTGCGTTCACCCTGAACCACAAAATTTTACACTGTGATAATATAACAGAATTGTAGAATTTTGTGCCGTGAGCAAACGTTCCAGTGCTCTTGTGTTACTACTGTTACTGTTAGCCTAAAAGTGTTCAATTTTGTATGTGGACTGTGGGCAGTGGAGAGAGAGAAAGAGAAAGAGAGAGAGAGAGGAGTAGCGCGAGAACTTCCGGGCAAAACAAAATGGTGACCCGCGTAGTTTGGCTCGATTCGAAAAGTTAAACAGCCGTAGCATCTTTGTAGATGATCAAATTAATTTACTTTTGTGTTTTAGCATCATTTTTTAATCTTTGTTTTGGTCAATTTGATCGTTCACATCGATAGACAGTATTCAGAAAAAGAGAGAGAGAGAGAGAGAGAGAGAGAGAGAGAGAGAGAGAGAGAGAGAGAGAGAGAGAGAGAGAGAGAGAGAGAGGGGAGGAGTAGATCTTGCGAGAACTTCCGGGCTAAACAAAATGGCGACCCGCGTAGTTCGGCTCGATTCGAAAAGTGAAATAGCCATAGAGCACCTTTTTTGTAGACGATCAAATTAGCTTACTTTTGTGCTATAGTTCATTATTTTTTCTTAGCTTTTTCAATTTGATCATCCACACCGATAGACATACTCAGTCCGAAATGGGAGGACTTCCGTAACGAGCGACCACTATGAGACAGAACAGAATTGAGGGCTAGGGGTAGGGGTAGATGTAGGGGTAGGGTTTGTAAAGGGTTAGGGTTAGGCCTCTTCTTTTATTGTGTTTTATGGGGTGGTCGCTCGTTACAGAAGAAGTCCTTCCTCCGAAATTAGGAAAAACAGGTCTTGTTTCACACCGGGTGAGAATAGCCAACGCTGGCAAGTCTCACCCGGGGTGAGAGGTCGATCGTATTTTTATTTTCACCCCGGGTGAGGATAGCCACTTACATTGTAGGCTATTGATTGGGAACATTCAGACCAGGGAGACATTGATGGCTCAAATCGTCGCCTTACTTGTGGTGTGTAGAGTCAAGTGTGCAGCGTCAGTAAATATAAGAGAAGGGTGGCACAGAGACTAGGCGTTCATAGGACAACACAGGTCGGACAGGTGTCATTCTTGTCCTCAGCCTCAGAATTTGAAGGCAAGCACACAACAGGTCCACCAGGGACGAGGATTCCAGAGCAATAGTATCGACAAAGAAACGGAGAATACCAAGAAGATGATCTCTATTTGACAGAAATTAGGAACACATGAATAAGAGATTTGAGCTTTAAAATAAAGTAAAAACTGTAGTGCCCTACTTACTTCGCCTAGGATACTCTGGACATGCATGAAAAGTTGGAACTTGCACTTACCTGTCTGGCACTGCTCAGAACTTCCATACCATTCTTCTCTATTTCCAGATTTTTCTACGAGTCGAAAGGAACCACAGCACCACTGGCTTTGAGGAGGCCAGTCAATGTGCCAGAGTCTGATTTTTGTCGTCGCATATGGTGCACTTATGGGACGAACAAGTAGACAAGCGTGCACTGTATTGTTTTTTGGTTGATTTTTGCTAATTTTGAACTTGTGTCCCGCATTTAAGTCTGCCACTGAAAATGAGAGAATAATTTAAGCTAAAAGCTGACGCTTTCACTTCAACTTTGAATTATGAGCGTAACATTGCTCACTTAATAAGAACGTATTTCTGTGCGTCTGAGATTTCAAGACATAAGGAAAGTTGAAATTTATGGCAAAATAATTCAGTAGTATGATAGAGTGTGAAGGCAGAAAAAAAGAATAATAGTGTGGTAAAAGTCACACCCAAGACTAACACTAGAATTCTGTGGTTGTCAGTCTTGGATCACACTCCGCTGGCTTAAACTTATGCCTTGACAAACCGGCAAACTTTGTAATAAGCAGTAAATCTGGTGAATGTTTACTTTTTACATTTTATACTGCGAGCGAACGCTTGCAACCCTCAGCTGTAAGGTAGTTTCTGTTGATGCAGTATACAAAACAAAGTAAGCCCCTGCCTTCCTCTTTGCTGTCTGCTGTCATTGAGGACAACTTCGTGAGTGGTAGGCCTGCCGTTTGACTTAAGAACAGTTAAAATTAGTTTGTTATCACCCTTTTATGATAAGATATTTTTTAGCTTGCAAAGATCTCGAACTCTTTTTATTGCTACTTTCACTTTCTTCATTAGATCTAACTGGCTCTGAGACTCAGAATTTTCTTAGAAAACACGATCTGATCCGGGATTGATTTTTTTTGCCGCAACTGGCTTTCACTTTGGAGTAGATCTAATCTAGATATAGATCTAGAATCTAGATCTAAATCCAGGCTTTTGCTGGAATAGGTAGGTCTAGATATCTAGATCTAGATCTAGTTCATGGGTTGAAATCTACTCTCTTGTCCTTATTTTAACACTCAAAAATTAATGGGAATTCAGCTGTGCTGTGAATTGTGAAAATTATAAGTTGGCACTTCCTGACTGGGGCAGCCCAGTTTGTCACAGGCCAGCACCGATAGGACAGGATCATGTTCGTCCACTCTTTGATGGTGTCGAACCACCTCTTTCTTTGTAATTTAAGTTTTTTATTCTCCACCTTCAAATTGATTGTGTAGAGATCTACAAGCGAATAGATAAAGAACGACAACTAAACGCCATTGGCCTATATTTATAGTAACAGCCATCTTGTTTGACCTCGCAAGGGGGATGCCCACCTTGTCAAAGATTCTCTACTACTTCTTGTGCTTACTACAAAACTTTAAAATAAACGATCCGGATAGAAACGGTCAGTCATTTGCACTGCGTAGTTGAACTTTGTTTGAACTTGCTTTCATACGTAGGCCTACTCTTAGTCTTCTTTTTCTTTTCAGTTTATGTAGTGTCCAGCATCAGAATCAATTTGGGTGAAAGAAGGGTGATGCACTATCTCAGACAACAGAACTGAACAGTTCTGCAAGTTGCAAAGAAAATAATCCGAGTCGGCACGTTGCCATCGTGCTGTCGTGTTGCCACCATGACTGACAAAGTGGGAACCCATCATGACGTCAAACAAGATGGCTGTTACTATAAATATCGGCCAATGGCGTTTAATTGTTGTTCTCTAGCTATCCGCTTGTGTGTAGAGATAGTCTCTAAAATGTCAATTTAGCTTACAAGTGTTCAATATTTCTTCCGTTTTGTATGCAAATCAAATCAAATTAGGTCTATTCTGTAAAATTTGGACAATGAATGTTTTCTCGTTAAAAACAGTTGAAAAATAAAACATTCATATTATCAATCAATCTTTCATTTACTCTTTTTGAGAGTGTCAGTAATATTACTATAACTTTCATCATGGAGGGCACAGTCGAGGCGGGATGGGCCTGCGACAAACTGGTGTGCTTCCCTTCCTAACTGTAGTCAGTCTCGTTCATAACAATATTGTTCTGGATTTACGTCTAGATCTAGTTGTAAAAAAAAAAATCTGAATTGTATACATATATGCTTGATTTTCCAGATTACATAGCATCTCTCTTTTGTGTTTTTGTTTTTTCTTTGAAGTGAAACATAGAGGATACGTTTAGGGCGCACAAGTCCAGCCCGTCTATGAAGTGGATAGCCAGCTCACTCTTCTCTCAGACACACTGTATTTTGAGGTCTTTTCGAGTGGGTCGTCTGTGCACTGCCAAGATGGCCTCTTCCTCCTCACCTAGTGGTGGAAACAGTGTGGTGCCTCAAAAATCTTTGATTGCTGTGTGTCAGATGACAGCAACTTCAGATAAAGAAGAGAATCTGAAAACTGTGTTGGAGCTCATCGCTTGCGGCACTCGCAGAGGAGCTAAGGTATAAAATGTATTTTTTAGAACATATAAGGATCAAGTGAATGAAAATTGACGGATGAATATTTTAAGGGCAAATAATAAAGCTTTTAAATACCTTTTACTTATACTGTGAACAATTTATGACCATCGTCATGCAGACAACCCAAGTTTTGCGCAATGATCACTTGATGTAGATCTAGTTTATTATTACTTTTTGAAGGGAACAAGATTTTGGCACATCTTGACGGTGCAAGATAATGTTATGAATATTGTGCTAGATAAATAGTTATTGCTACCATGATATAATTAGCTGACTCGAACAAGTTTGATTGATTTATTACTTTTTAGGGAAAAGTTTTAGTTTCATTATTATGGAAAAGTTAACTGTTTTAGAATTATTTTGTTCATCCCTTTTAACAACACATTGAATTTTGAACTACTCTGTTTTATACGATAAGAAATGTGATTGAAAGGTTTAAAGAAATGATAAAGTATCAGTATATAAACCATGATCTGTTACAACTTGAATTGATAACGTGTATATATGCAAAGAGGGCTTTGGTGATAATAATGACATTGTTATTGGCTTGAACCATAATATTATTACCATAATTTGTTAATCGATTGTTCATCTGAGTCCCTTTTACGACTTATTCCACAGATGATCTTTCTGCCAGAAGCCTGCGATTATATTGGAGAGTCAAAACAACAATCAGTTGATTTAGCTGAGCCTCTGAATGGGAACTTTGTACAGCAGTGTCAGAAAGCTGCCCTGGAACATTCTGTTTGGCTCTCAATTGGAGGCTTCCATCAGAAGGTAAATGATTATTATAACTGTTAATGGCATACTAATACAATGATGTCACTCATACGAAGGAACCAATATTCTTCTTCCTTGTTCTGGATGACAGCAGCTAGACAGTCAGTCCAATGTTGCGTACAAACTGTGCAGTCCACTTCAAATCTGAGAGACTGCCGTAGAGCTTTCTCTCAAGAGTCAAGAGGAGTCACATTCTGCCACGTCTGTGTATGAAGGGTGGTGTAAGGAACCAATATAATAATAATAATAGCATTTGTTTTGCGCATATCCCCGCTCGACAGCAAGCCCTGTGCGCTTTACACACTGTATTATAACTTCAGCAGACCATAGAACAGTCAGAAACATTCTCAGCTTCTTGGGAAGCATACATTACAAGCAGCTGATTAAGTGCTAAAACACTAAGAAACTGACAAGATCTTTCACTGTCTATAGCTGAGTACCCTTTTCAACCTGGGTGAAGTGAGGAACATTCGTGTAAGTGCCTTTCCCAAGGACACAATGTCGGCCCCTGATGGGATTCGAACCCATGACCTTACGGTTTTGAACCTTAGAGCCTAATCACTTGGCCACAGATGCCACCTTGCATGGAAAGACATTTCTGAAGGCTGTGTGTGTTCAGATAATGCGATATTTTGTCATTATCCTTGTCTTCGTTGTTGCTTTGGCTACTGCTGTCCTTCCCAACAAATCTTTGACATTGTCCTGTCTTTCTGAGATTAACAATTTTTCTGCTAATTTTAGATAACAATAGCAACAATAAAAACAATAAAAATAATGATAAAAATTATAATAATTTCAAAAAATTGAAATAGTTAATATAATAATTATGACAATAAAAATTTAATAAATTGTATTTATGCGGCGCACAACGCTCCAAGGAAGTAGGTGCTATGGCTGTACACTTTACAATTACCCTGACAGAACTAAAGACAATCTGAAATGTTCTCAGCGTCCAAGGAATCGTTCCTGAGACAGTTTGTTTTATGGAAAAAAATCAAAATAAAACTAAATAAATCTTACGCAGATCAGTAGATAGATGAGTATGTATCAGCTTTATGTTGAATTTTACGACCTTATTATAGTGGAGGAAGAAGTAAGGTGGAAAGTGTTTGTCTGTGGCCTATACCCTGATGCAAGGTGACAAAGCCAATGATGATGGAGATGGAGAAAGAAATGTGATGGATTGAAGAAATGGTTAATGATGTTCAAATATTTTGTTGTTTTAATAAATAAATAATAAATAAATTGCACTTTTATTTATCCCAGAAGGGCACTTTGGTTTACTATGGCAAACATACATACATACATACATACATACTTAAAGACATAATTATAAATATATGTACCTACATAAATACATATTCACAAATACATACATAAGTACTCAATATTACACAAATACAGAACAGTTTACAACCATGCCATTGTCGGTCGCCACTGTGCAGGCCCTGTATTTTGAGCTAGGGTTGTCATGTCTTGCTCAAGGACCCCAGTGACCACCCATCTGATCCCCGTGTCACCGACACTTGCTTGACATTACTTATTCGCATGTTTCTCCCAGAAATATTGTGCTGATCACATGATGTAGATTGTAGACCAGTGGCCTTGGATTCACCAGTCTAGAACTCTTTCCCCGTATAATATTATGTCATCACCATCATTGCCTTTTTCACCCTGGATCAGGATATAGACCACGGACTAACACTTTCCACCTTTCCCTATCCTGGGCTAGTCACTTGATGTCACTCCATGTCTTCCCACTTTTCTGTACCTTCATTCCCGTGACTCTTCTCCAGGTTCCACGTGGTCTTCCTCTTGATCTTTTACCCTGTGGGTTTCAATGCGAATTGATTATAAAACCATCTACAATATTATGTGAAATATAAAAATTTTAAACATTTTCAGGCTCCTGCAAGTGAAAATCAGAAACTTCTGAATACTCATGTCCTCATTAATGACCAAGGGAAAGTGGAGGCAACCTACGACAAGACTCATCTGTTTGACCTTGACATTGCTGGCAAAGTGCGGCTATGTGAAAGTGACTACGTGGTCCGAGGAGGTGGAATAGTTCCTCCCGTGGCCACCCCAATTGGCAGAGTTGGCCTGGCAATCGTATCCTTTGACCTGAATTTGATAGTGCTATAGCCTGATCTATGCTTTGTATGTGTTGTGTTTTCCTTTTTTTTTTTTCTTTTTTTTTTTTTGAATCATTTACTGTTTTTGTTACAATTTTTCTTTCTTTCTTTCTTTTTTTTTTTTCTTTTTTGTTGTTGATCATTTACTGTTTTTGCTACAATTTTATCTTTCTTTCTTTTTTCTTCTTTTTTTTTTATATACCACTGTACTAACTGTTCAAAAGTGCCACCTGTCCAAGTCCATCACCTGTAGAAATGACCACTTACCATCTAGATTATAACCCAACGACCAGGCTTTAGAACACTCAGGAACATTTTTGACTTCCCGGGAGGCATACAGCATGTAAGGATAATATAGTAGTAATGAAATTAATTAGCAACTTAACCCTATCCGTAGGCCCTGTAGTCATTTTGTACCCCTGGGGTTGTATTCTTCACATTTTAGAATACTTCTAGCCCGAAGATCTCTTTGAAACTTTCAGTATTTTTTCCAAAAATGAATTTGACGGACTGCTATGCAAAGCATGCGGATCAGATTAACGAGAAAATTTCCTCTCTGGAATGTGGTGGCACAGAGTTCCCCACGTCGTATGGATACCATAGTAAAACACTGAACATAGATAGGGTTACAGCTTGTTCATTTGTCTAGTTTTCGATTTAAAAAATACCCTTCTTGATAACTGAAACTTTACCTATTTTGTGCCTTTAATCAACGTTTTTTTCAGTAAAATTCATATGGAAATGTGTTATTATC